AGGATAGACATATACCTATTAATCATACATAGTCACTATAGGTCCTAAACTTAGCGAACTTAGCTTTAGTTAATGTTTTATAGACATATAGATAGTTAATGAAGCTAGGCAATTGTGTGATAACTCGACGGAGTATCATGCATGCTTAGGGAACCTAGACTAACATTGATTCTCATAAAAAGTAGGTAGTTGATTGATCTTGTATCCTTACAAAGCAATAACTGAAACCATAGCCTTAGGCCTTAATTATATTGTTTTCTCACTACACATTTAATTTGCAATCCTTAGGTTAAAGTAGACTTTTAGAGTAAATTTTATTTCAATTTAACAACTTGTTCCTCTTGTTGCTTGGATAAAACTTAGCTTGTTACAATTTTAGTAATTAATAACAAATAGTAAATCAACTCCTCGAGGGATCGACAACTCTACTTATCTCTATATTACTTGTTGCGACCGTGTGCACTTGTGCGTAATCTTTACTTGTATTTTGTAGTTAAATTTTGAGCACAATCCATATCAAGCAAAAGATTTATTTATTTAAATATTAAGCAACATTATTCAATACTCAGCTTATATACTCAGCTACAACTCAGTTACAACAAATTAACTAACCCACAAAAGTCAGATTTTGTAAAAGAACTAAAAGTTAACAAACAATCATAGTAAACAGAAAACTAACAGTAGCTAATACAGCATAAACTTGAGGAAGACCAATTAAAACGACAAATATTAAAACGTTTAAGCTTGTATGCAAAACGACACATAAACTGATCATTTAGTTACACACTTTTAGTATCATCAAAATGACTTAAGGACTGCCGTTTAACTAACCAACCAGACAAGCAGCTATTCAAACATCTTCATGAATTGCCTTTGTTCCTTAGCATCAAAACCAGATTTCAATCATTCTTCAACATACCCCTGTGATTGAACACCTAGTAAACTCCTAGTCTTTCTCTCATAAGCTCAAATTTCTCTCGATACATTCCTTTTGTGAATATGTCAGCCAGTTGTTCATCAGTGGGGCAATAAACCATTTGAATTTCACCTTCCTTGATTGATTCTCTAAGAGCATGGTACTTGACCTTTATGTGCTTTGTCTTTCCATGTTGTACTGGATTTTTAGCAATTGTTATAGCTGACTTGTTATCTACTTGTATCAAAGTGGCCTTTTCTTGTTCAAAACCAAGATCAGCTAATACTTTTCTTAACCAAACAGCATGGTTAGCTGCAGTTGTAGTGGCTATATACTCAGCTTCTGTGAAAGACTAAGCCACAACATCTTGCTTTTTAGTATTCCAGTAAAACACTCCACTCCCAAATGAGAAACAAAACCTCCTGTGCTCTTTGAATCTTCAACAAAACTTGCCCAGTCACTATCGCTATAGCCTTGCCGCTCACTGTACTCATTCTTCTTATATCTCAGACCATAATTCACAGTGTTTTTCACATACCTAAAAACTCTTTTGATAGTCGTAAGGTGCACAATTGATGGAGACTGCATGAACTTGGACAAAAGACTTGTTGAGAACATAATATTAGGTCTTGTTGTTGACAGATACAGTAAAGACCATACCATGCTTCTGTAAATCACTTTATGTGCTAGATCACACCCATCATCTTTACTTTGTTTACTTCCAGCAGCAAATGGTGTGTCAACTGCTTTGCATGACTCCATTTTAAATTTTTTTAATAAATCTCTAGCATATTTTGTCTGGTGCAGTATGATCTGATCAATGAGTTGAAGTATTTCCATTCCTAGAAAATATGACATAATACCCAAACTAGTCAATTCAAAGACACTTAGCATTTGTGCTTTGAAATCCTCCAAATAGACTTCATCAGGACCAGTGATCAACATATCATCAACATATAAGGCAACTACTAATATTACTAACCCATTTACTTTTTTCACATACAATATGTGTTCACTCATACTCTTGACAAAGCCTTGATCCTTAAAATGTGTATCTATTCTATCATACCGAGCCCTTGGCCTGGGTGCTTGTTTTAAACCATAAAGTGCCTTGACAAGTTTTCACACTTTGTTTTCAGCACCTTTCTTCACATATCCTTCTGGCCGTTCAATGTAGATATCCTCAGTTAAGATGCCATTTAAAAAAGCAGACTTAACATCTAGGTGGAAAATCTTCCAATTTTCTTTGGCTGATAGGGTTTTAAGCATTCTAATAATATTATGCTAGGCAACTGGGGCAAAAGTCTCAAAATAGTCAATGCCATATACTTGAGCATATCCTTTCACAACCAACCTTGCTTTGTACTTGTTGATTGTTCCATCAGGATTCAGCTTGGTCCTAAATATCCATTTTACCCCAATTACATGCTGATCTTTAGGTCTGTTTACTAAAAACTAGGTATTGTTTTTCTCAATCATACTCATTTCTAAGTTCATTGCGGCTTTCCAGTTCTCATCACATTCAGCTTCAGCAAAGTTTGAAGGTTCACTTAAGGCCAAATTGCACCTGCCATATATATCCTGCAATGTTCTTGTGCCTCTGACAACCAACCTTTCATCTTCAATATGCAAAGATTCATCATCACTGTCATTCAACTGATGATTTCCTTCATTATATCCACCACCAATGCCTTCAACTATATTCTTCTCCCAGTTTCAATAATGCCCTTCATCGAACATCACATCCTTACTGATAAAAACCTTGTTTGATTCAAGATTATATAACCTGTAGCCTTTACTTACTTCACTATACCCAATGAACACAACTAAAATTGATTTAGCATCAAATTTAGTTCTTTTCACATCAGGTATCTTAGCATAGCATATGCTTCCAAAGACTTTAAAGTGAGTAAAAGAAAGCTTGAAACCATACCACTCTTCATAAGGCATTTTATTAGACAAGGCCCTTGTAAAAGTCTTGTTAAGAAAATAGTTGGCTGTATTCACTGCCTTTGCCCAGAACTGCTTTGGCATGTGGTTTTGAAACAACCAACATCTACCCATCTTTACAAGTGTCCTATTTTTCCTCTCAAAGACACCATTCTGTTGAGGACTATAGGTTACTGTGACTTTATGTAGAATGCCAAACTCCATCAAAAAATTTTCAAACTTTGTGACAGTATATTCCTGGCCATTGTCACTCCTCAACATCTTTATATTGTGACTTGACTGATTCTCAGCCAATGCTTTGAACTTCAAGAAACTCATCAATGTTTTTGATTTCTTTTTAAGAAAATAAATCCAACAGTACCTTGTTAAATCATCAATGAATACAATGTAGTATTTACTACCACTCAATGACAATGTCTTCATTGGTCCACTTAGGTCTGTATGAACTAACTCCAGCTTCTGACTTGCTCTCCAATTCCTATCTTTAGGAAAAGGTTTTCTACTTTGCTTGCCATATTGACATGTGTCACACAACTTCTTTGGTTTTTCAATGACTAGAAGTCCATCAACCAATTGTCCAAGAGACATTTTAGACAAAAAAACCATAGTTCACATGTCCCATTCTTTTGTGCCAAAGTTCTGAAACATCTACCTCACTGTAGAAAGCGACATGTTTTGTATCCATTAGATCCAATGGATAGCAATTGTTCTTCATTTCCACTGTGATTAATTCAGCACCAAAAGGATCAAATATTGTACAATAATTATCCTTAAACAACAGTGCATAATGACTTTTGGCCAACTTTCCTACACTTAACAGGTTCTGATCAGCTTTTGAAACAAAATGAACACTAGAGATTTGTTTTACTCCAATAGGAGTTTTCACAACCACTGAACCAATTCCCAGAACTTTCAAGTAAACTCCATTTCCAATCTTTACTCTAGCATTGAAACTTCTATCCAACTCAGTAAAGAGACTCTCATTTCCAGTGAGATGATTAGAACATCCACTATCTATGAGCCATACACTCTTTGCCAATGGATCACCATCTGTTCTAGCCATAAATAGTGACTCTTCAATCTCATCAGTTTGCTAAGCTACAGTTGTTTTCTCCTCAGTGTTAGCTTTCTTAGTTTTGCAAACATTTTGTACATGTCCCATTTTACCACACGACCTACACTTGATATTAGGTCTATACCGGTAATAGTTACTGGTGTGATTTTTCTTCTTGCAATGGGGACAGGGTGGATATCTGTCACCTTTAACTTACTTATCATTTTCTCCTTTATTTACCTTACCCTCTGACTTTTTTTCCCCACCTCCTCTAGTCTTGAATCCTTTAGTTTTAGCCACTAAAGCATTTTCAGTCAAATCATCATTTCTAATGGCTCTTCTTTGTTCTTGAGCTAATAATGCATTTGTAAGCTCAGTCACTATGATTCGGGACAAGTCCTTTGAATCTTCTAATGAAGAAATCTTAGCCTCAAACTTTTCAAGAAGACTAACTAAAATTTTAGTCACCGCTCTTTTTTTGTTCAAATCTTCCCCTAACAACCTCAACTGGTTTACAATTTTCATAACCTTGTCAGTATACTCCTTAACACTCTCATTATCTTTCATTTTTAACACCTCAAATTCTCTTAACAAATTCAATATCTGAATCTATCTAGTTTGTTCACTACCCTGAAATTCTTCCCTAAGTTTATCCCAAACCTCCTTAAGATTATCCAAAGTCACTATTCTTGTAAAGATTGAATCAGAAACAGCAAAGTGTAAACAAGAAAGTGCTTTGTACCTCTTTGCAACATCTTCGCTATGCTACTTAATTTGAGCCAAGGTTGGGTTTGCGTGTCTTTGAATCGGTGGATCTCCCCCAATTTCAACCACTTCTCATAAATCAAATGCTTTGAGAAATGCTTTCATCTTGACTGCCCAAATAGAGTAATTTTCTCTAGAGAAGATCGGTGGTGCTGACGCGTTGTAATTGGATGAGGCCATGTTCAATCAATACAAACAAGAACAATGAATAACAGAAGAAAAACAGAACCTTGAGGTCCTTGAAGAACTAATGAGCTTTGATACCATTTTGCAAAATCTCAGAAAACTTCAAGAACGGGGAAAACTGATTTTCAAAGAGAGAATCAAGAAGTAGAGACTGAGAGAGGAAAAAATAACTGCACCAAAAAAACTTATTTTTTTTATTCTATACTCAGCTACAACTCAGTTACAACAGATTAACTAACCCACGAAAGTCGGATTTTGTAAAAGAACTGAAAGTTAACAAACAATCATAGTAAACAGAAAACTAACAATAGCTAATACAACAGACACTTGAAGAAGACCACTTAAAACGACAAATATTAAAACGTTTCAGCTTGTATGCAAAACGACACATAAGCTGATCGTTTAGTTACACACTTTTAGTATCATCAAAATGACTCAAAGACTGTCGTTTAACTAACCAACCAGACAAGCAGCTATTCAAACATCTTGATGAACTGCCTTTATTCTTCAACAGTATGGTTTTTGCAATATAACCATTCTCCTTTATTCTTTTCCCTCCTCTTGCTAGCTTGAAGAAGATTGGAAACTAAGCAACTGGGGGAGAAGTGCTTAGTTTACCAATCATATAAGGGTCCATCTACTTGAAGAACTCCATTACCCAGACGTTATAAACAAAACATTCGTATTTGATGCCCCTGAATCCAGCATTAGTTGCCAAGGCTTCTAATTCTAGCTTGTTTCGTTCCTTCCCTCTTGGAAGCTGAGTCATCATAAGGATATCCATCTGCGAAGTGCTTCTCCCAAAAGCATTGGTCTCGGGTAAAATTGGGAGGACGGTATCAACCACTATAACTTTTCCATCATCAGGGATGGCATTGTAACAATTCTTCAACAGCTTCAAACATTGTTCATCGCTCCAATTATGAAGTACCCCCTACAAAAATTTTTACAAGTTAATTAAGTCATTAATTTGTTATCTAATGTTTAAGCTCGTATTATTTGAAACTTTTGATGAAGCAAATAGCAAAAATTGAACAACCAATGCAATGACTAAAATGTGAAAATGGACTAATAGTTGATGATTTCTTGTGAGAGATGATTGAATCCGTCACTCACAGTTGCATATCAGGGGGAAAGATTGTCTACAAATGATATCTTACCTTCATGAAAATGGCATCGCCTTTAGGAATACTTTCGAACATATCTCCCCCTACATGTTCAACGCCTGCAATTTTTGTTGATGTCCTGTTAGTGTACAAAGTATACCAAATTAACTAGACAATACATGCTACTTAGCATCATTTCGGAGTTGTGTTTGATGGAATTAAATGAAATTCCACAATGCAAAAACCGAATTTAATTAAGCTATAAAGTGATTTTGAAAATCTTTTCTATTTCAAACGATTCAGTTATCTTTCTTTTAAACACAAAATCATGAGATTAACAGCCCTTTTATGGTGTCATGTTTGTAATGCACTGGACTAATGCAGCTACATTAAGTTGGCCAAACGAGGAAGGGAATGCAACAGATACAGTTAGCTCAGCATTTTACTTCCTCGTACAATATTCTGGATTGAGCGAATGATATATATAAACAAAAAAAAAAAAGAGAAAAGAAAAGGCTATATATGAGTTTGAGATATTATTCAGAATACATAGAATAATGTATTAGCCAAGTTGTTACCAGGATAGGTCGGGGCATGTTGTATAACATGAGGCAAGTCAAAATTAATTCCCTTAATGAAGGGGCACTTGGAAGTGATGAGGCTGAGAGTGACTCCTAGACCACCGGCAACATCAACCAGTCGGTTGAGCTGCTCAAAACCCTTGTAGGTCTCCAGGATCTTCTTCACGATTATAGTCGTGTGATTGATCATTGCAGTATTAAAAACTTGATTGAGCCTAGGGTCCTTGCCAAGGTATTCAAATACGTGTGTTTCATGGGCCCTGTCAAATGGAACTCCTCCTTCAAGAACTGCATCCTTCAGCTGGTACCTAGCAGTACATTAATATGCACGAATTTGTTAATTATAGCAGCCAAAAAGCTAAACAAAGTCAATAGTCAGGCGAATTGGGAACTTCTTTACGAGTTGAAATTGAGCAACCCAGCCTTTAGAAGCTACAACTAATTCAAGTAATGTACCAAACAAAAGGCAAGTGTCGAACATTGATACTGGGAAGGAGTCTTATCTTGTAATCATGGTCGGGTCAAATATACAAACAAACTTTTGGTCATGCCATAATCAAGTAGCTTTATCCCCGTTTCTAATGTTACCATCCAAGGATAAAAAATCATTATATTTACAAATTAGAATCAACAATGCATTGAATTATAAAATATTTTTGAAGTAATATCTAATATATACGCTCCACCCCATCGGCTAGAAGTTTTAATTCTCCGTTTGAGGATCAAGGTACGTGAAAATATGCACATATTAGCTAATGAAAAATCAGAACATTAAAAATTTATCTGCCTATAATTGAACAAACATTCCAAATCTCAACTGACCACCAACAATAAAGCTCTAACTAGACATCAACAAGTTTAATAGTTACTGGATAGTCAAGAAAAGAAGAGAGAGGTAGAGAGAGATGCACGAAACACACCAACTATCAAGGGAGACCCTGTCCTGATTCAAGGCCATCAAGGGGCCAAATGAAACACCATCTTCGTTTGGAACAAAGAATTTGGACACAGGCGTCAAACCATAGAACCTTTGGGGATTGTTACTCTGTTCATCTACCACAGAGCAACTAACAATACCATGGCTGGCCAAAACTCTAAGTATGCGGTCCAGCATCGACGGCGCCTCTGGATTCTTGCAAGGTAATTGCGCTGCTATCTCTTTTGGGGACAGCTTGGCTTTTGGACCAGCTTTGGCTATGATCTCAAGGAGTTCCAGTTGAATTGCTGCATACAAAGACATGGATAGCGCAGAAGAGCTGACAATCTGCATGGCATATGAGAAGCTTTCTTGGTCTTGCTCTGCATTATTGTTGCCATGAAACTGGTTTTCTACAGAAGATGCCATTGAACAATAAAGCCTTTTTTTCTCTCAATGAAATTAACTTGTATGTGTGGAATTTAAAAGGTTGACAAATAAAAATGAGAGGCAACTCTCACTCGGGCTTTATAGAGAAAAAAATGATCAAGAGGGGAAGGAAGCTATGAAAATTCGACGAAAGCGATTTTGCTGGCGTCCAAAGGGCAACGACAAGACTCCGGGCAACAACTGTACATTGGTTCTGTACACACAAATTTCAACAGTCAATTTGGAAATAAATATCAAATTTAATAATTACAGCCTAAACCCAATCACACACCTGCAAATTTCCTGTTGAAAATTAGATTGTAAAATGTGAAAACAAATATCAAATTTAATAATCAAATTCTAAACCCTAAACCCTCAATCCTAAGTCCTGAATCCAATTATAAACATACAAATTTCCTTACAAATTTCTTGTTGAAAATTGACTGTAAATTTGGAAGCAAATAACAAATTTAATAATTAAACATGGAATTCCAATCTCTGAAAACTCTTTAAAATAAAAAATAATCCTCTAATTAATTTCTTTAATGGTTGGGTCTTGACAACTTGATCTTAAATGCACAGAATTGGTCCCCTACCTTAATTAGGACTTGATCTTAAATGCACAGAATTGGTCCCCTACCTTAATTAGGACTTGATCAGGACTTGATCTTGAATGAACAAAATTGGTTTCCTTCCTTACGAAAAATGAAGATTGCAAAGTAATTTCTTGACAATTCTTTGATGTTGAGCAAATAGAATTTTGAGAGTTCTAGAGAGTTTTTTATTTTTTAGAATCTTCTTCGTTTTCCAATTATTTGTCAAATGGTTTGGAGGGGCACTATATTTATAGTGCTAGATGAAAAACGGTTAGATAAATAAATTTAAAGTAAAATAACCAAGACGAGATAAATTGGTTATGAGATATAAGTTTCCCTCTTTGAACTTAAGATAACAAAGAAGCTTGAAAAGCTAAGTTGTAAAACAAGAGTATAAGCTAATTGAGAAATAAATGCAAAAAGTAAAATGTACTCAACCAAGTTTTTATAAATGTTAAGACTCTTTAATGCCTACGTCCTCTTTCTTAATGGTACAAAGAGTTCGAATCCACTATAAACTATTTTTCAAGAATCAAGAATAATCTATACAAAAGTATTGCTTTTTTAGGATCAAATACAACCTTTACAAGCCATTACCTTTCAAGGATCAACCACAACTTATACAAACCACTGTCTTTCAAGGATCAAGCACAATCTATACAAGCCATTACCTTTCAGGAATCAAACACAACCTCTCTACCTTTTGCTTGGAAGTATAGCCAATACTACCTTCACTAAAGGAGGTATAACCTTTACATTACTTTTTATGTAGAGGTATAACCAACAATAGTGGATTTTCAAAGGAATATGAGCTTAAAACCTCTATGAAGGCTGACGAGCTGTTTAGGTATAAAAAGATGAGAGCTTTTGCAAGAATGATGAATGATGAAAGAATATTCGGGCTTATAAATTTTCAAATGACAGATAAAAATGTGATCTTGATTTTCTTTTCTGCTCAAATGAAGGATTTTTCTGCTCTTGGTTCTCTGCTTGTTTTTCCACTTTTTTTTAGCTCTCAATTTTCATACTTTTGGCATCTTCGGAGTAGTCATTTACAGGCCTTGTGATTTTTTACTTGTCGAAGTAAAATTTGAAATGAATTTTCATATGTTTTAGCTAGCTTGATCAAGTTTGTCATACTTGGAAAATCGATTCTTTGTTCTTGAGTTTTCAGTTCTTCATAAAGTCTATAACTTTCTATTTCCAAAGAATAGATCCTTTCTTCTTAAAATGTCGATTCTTTCTTAACTTGGCTCAAAAGTTGCACTTTTGCAATATTTTAAGAGTCGATTCTTCTTTTTCAAGGTGTTGGTTCTTCATTGTGGTTTGATGTCAAAATTTAATTTTGAATCTCATCTTTGAGGTTCCAATCTTATCCATTTATCCTATTTCTTCCCTACTTTCCAAGTTAGTCATTGATGATTTAAGAACTGATATCTTCTTTCTCAAGAATCGATTCTTTGTCTTCGAACTTGTGCTTGGATTCCTTTTATTTTCTTGGAATCGATTCTTGCTCTCTAAGTTGTCAATTCTTTCTTATCCCAATAGCTTCTGTATTTCAAGCATTGATATCTCTTTTTCATAAAATCGATTCTTCCTATAAAGAAGTAAAGAATTTTGCTTTTTGTGTAATGAGAATCAATTCTTCATTTACAAAATGTCTATTCTTAAGGTTGATACTTTGAGTTTGAATTTGTTCAAAAGCATTTTTCTTTGCAAGATTAACCTCAAAACTCTTTAGGATTTCCTTCAAGTTTAAAAACATTTTCTAAGCATTTCCAAAGCATATTTAAATCAATCAATTTTGTCATTTCAAAACCAAGATAAGCTAACAATCTTCCTCTTTTTGACATGACAAAATTAATAGCTAAATTTACTCATTAAAGAACTCCACCTAAATTTGTGCTTGACATTTCAAAAGATTTTAGAACCAGGGCAAAGATATAAAAAGGATTTGAAAGCATTGTCTTGAGAACAACTCCCCCCAAATTTGTGCTCATTTCAAAAAGGTTGCATGATATTTGGAAAGCACTTTTGAAATCATTTTTCAAGAAAATCCAACCATAAACACAAGTAAAGCTTTGGCAAACTTACTTATAATATTCTCCCCCTTTTTATTATATCAAAAAGGAATAGAAAACATAGTATAAAGAATAGGGAAAAAAAATTTTAGCTATTAAAAACAAAATATTTTTGAAAATATGCCTCGAGATAATTTTAACTAGATTTAGCCAAGAAAATGGATTTTTGGATAAAAATGCCCTTAATGAGACATCTTCATTGACGCGCACCCTCAAACACGCAAAATAAGAAAATAAATAAATAAATATGCAAAGAATTTACGAACATCTAATTTTGTGCAAAACATCTTCTTCTTTTTTTTTTTGCGAAGCTTGTGCAAAGCAAAATAATATTGCATGAGAAGGTTTTTCAAATATTTTAGACATGGCATTCAAATAATGTGAGAAGATAGATATTAAATGATCGAGGAATCGATCATGATGAATCAAAAACTTTTAGAATGATGTAAAACCAGAAATCCGTGGTAGGGTGGTGAATCGAAAGGAGAAATATGTGAATCCAAATCACGAAATGGTCATGCTACAGTAGGCCATAAGTGAGATGCCTGTGCATGGTCGAGTTTAGAGTTTGTGACACTCCATGAAGGGAATATGTGAGATGACAGGATGAGAATATGTGACAGGAGCAGAAAAGAATATGTGAGCTGAATATGGTGAGAATATGTGACACGCCAGTGTCAGAATGTGGCATGAAACGGCATGTCGGGAATATGTGACAGGGCATGGTGGAAATGTGTAACACAACTGTGCACGACAGGATTTAGAGTTTGTGACACGCCATAGAAAGAATATGTGACACGACAAGATGAGAATATGTGACACGACTCGAAGAGAATATGTGATATGATATGGTGAGAGAATATGACATACTAGTGTCAGAATGTGGTACACCATAGTGAGCATATATGACACGATAGGATTCAAAATTTGTGATGCACTATAAAAAAAATCTATGACTTTATAAAAGCTTTTAATGCATTAAAATTATAGACCTTATATAGAAAGAGTGATATTTTTATATAAAGTTGTTTTTTGATGACCCCTTTGTAAAACGTTGATGTGTAAAATACAAATAAGAAAGAAAGAAAAAAAGGAGGAAAAAGAAAAGAAAGCTTTGTGAGTGCACCTTGATGTGTTTGTGTGATCTAGAGAAAAGGTTTAAAGTAAGTTAATAAAGAGTGTGGGGGATGGAAGTAGGGGAGGAGGTGTAAGGAGAAAAAGCTTAGCTGAGGAGTAGGCATTTATGGGGAGTAGGGGAAGGGAGGGCTAAGGAGAAAAAAGGCTAGATGAGGAGTAGGCATTTATGAGGAAGTGCGACCGTGTTGATCATGTTTTTTATTTTATTTCATTTTATTTTTGAGTAAGTATGATAGGGAGGGACCTAAAAACAAAAGTAAGGGAGGGTGAAGGAGGTGACAGTGAAACGAGGGAGGAAGAGGAGTTTAGCTCAAGATAGAGGGTGATGAAGGTCTTAACAGATGGAGTGGTGGGGGTTGTTCATGTCTTTGAAATGACGGTTAGGAGAAAGTAGGGAATGTGACAAATGGCTTTCTTGAGTTGTAGAGAGATATTATAGGAATTGAGGTCATCGATTGGGGTTTAAATGAGCGGTGGACGGGGGGCGTTTATAAAGGTAGGGGAGTGGTTTTGGACTCTTCAAAAGAATGTGCCGATGATGATTGGTGATTTGATAAGGAGGACTGTGGGCAGGTAATGATGGATGGTACGGATTCAGGTCATGTTAAAAATTAGATTGTAAATTTGTTTTGGTTGGATTTCTTGTTGGCTATGATTGATTGGTGTAGGCGCAAATTTGTTGGCTAGGCTTGGAGTTATCGTTGAGGCTATGTGCTACATTTGGCTTAAGGGCCACTTGTTTATACTTCTCTGTTTACCATGGAACGGTTGTGTTTTAAATTTGGATGGGACCTTATGCGAAATGGCTTTTGTATATGAAGGCATTTTGAGATCATGGGTGTTGAGTTTTAGGTTGATTAGAATTCTATATCTTAATTGATTAGAATTTTGGTTTATGTACAACATTAAAGATTGTATAGTTTAAACTTCTTATTCCACATAGAGTCCTAATCACAATTCTACTTTAGACTTTTATACTATAAAAGTGGATCTCTAGGCTTTAGAATTATAAGTAGTGCTTTGAGAATCTTAGAGAAAGGACACTTTGTAACTCTGTCTTTTGCTCTAGGTGGAGCTAGAGTGGTTTGGGTGATGTTCTTGGGAGGTTATTGAGAAAGAGTGTGCAAGGGATCTTGGGTTGGTTTGGGGAGCATAGAGATCAATTTATGTACTTTAATTTTTAATAATATATAAGAATAGTTTCACTCCGTTGACGTAGACAAAGGCCGAACCACGTAAATTCTTGTGTTTTTTTGTTTGCTTGATCTATCTTGGTGTGTATCTGTTCTTGACAATTGCCATAACATAGGCTCGGACGGCAAGCTGGGCATTAGGATGATGCAGCTTAAAGTATATTAAAGGTAATAGGATTTTATCGATTCTGGTTTTACAAGTATGATATGCTCTTGTATAGATAGAGACACCAAGCTCTTTGCGAGCAGATATTTGCCTATTTTTGGAGTTTGGGCAAACGGTTAGTAATTGTACAGATTTTCCAATGTCTAAACCAGGTTTGGAAAAGCCTTCAGTTTGCTAATCACGTCGTAAATTTTGTTTCCAAATAGATTAGATGATTTGCATATGGAAATTTAGCAGCCGAAAGAATTGAGTGGTACCCATTTTTCTTCCATCTTGAACAAGGTTGTAAGAATTAAGAATGTGTTAAGTTTGACCGCAAGGCAACAAATAGGATGCTTTTGCCATGTGGGATTCAGGGTGCCATATCTGGCAGCTTCTTTGGTAATCTAACTAACATGCTTGAGCCCATGCACTAAGGAACTTGCGAGGTTTGTCCACTCTAAAAGGCTGAAAAATAGTGATTTGCAATAGTTTTGATAGCTACCGAACTTGGGCATGAAACATTATAGATGCAAGTTGCAGCAGAATCAATATACTAATTATAAAGTCAATTGCTAAATTTGTTGTTACTCGGTTCCTCGTACCAACTCTGTTAATAAAATTACTTTATGACTAAATAAAATAACAAGTAAGAATATAAAATAAAACATTTTTATGTCTTTTCAGTTGGCTGATTATAAAAATAAGATACATTTTTTTTTGAAAAAATTCTCTACTTTTTTCTTTTAAAACTATCTATTTTTTAAATAGACACAATACCCAAAAATACTCTAAAACTATTTAAAAAAATTTAAATAAACCCTTGTCATGTTAGTTTGGAAACTCAATCTTTCTATTTAAATGTGATTGATCACCAAGATGAATTTAATTTTTCTAATGAGATATAACCTTGATTCACTTAAAAGAACAAGTTTTGATCTACGAAATAGATTTAAGTTCAAGAGTACAATTGCATATAAAGAAAGTATTATCACTCTCGTAACACTCATTTAAATTGCGTGTAAGAAACTCACTTGATGAGCTCACGAAACCGCTCTTACCAACCCAAATATTCTTAGAATTTTCCTTAAGCTTACTAATACAAGTGAAAAGAGGCATTTAGAGAATGAGAAGACAAGAAACTTAGCAAAGAAGGCCAATGAAAGATTAACCCCTCATGAGTTTTTAGGCCAACATTGGCTTACTCGCCCATTTTGTTTTGTTTAAGCTTTTGCAGTGTTTCTCTTCTTTAAATTTCCCACCCTCTCACTAAAGTTTAAGCTTCAATCTTCCTAGTTGAGGCAAGATCTTCAGATTTGGTACTTGGATTTGCCATTGTAGATCCCCCAAGGTTTTTAAGTAAAAGCTTGAATTGTGAAATGATTATGAGAAATATGTGGACGCTCGATAGAGGAACCTAGATCTAGAGAGAAAGAGTGTTGAAAAGTTAATTATATTTTCAACTTTGAAACGAAAATGCTAAGTCTGGTTGTAAACCTTATCGTTTTAGGTTTCGTTGTATCTCCAAGAGCTGGTAGGTGAAGGAGCTGAGCTAGCTAAGCTTGTTGTTTAAGAGTTGTCAAAGTGTAGGAGTTGAGAGAAGTAACGATACCTCTATAAGAGATATTGATACATGTTTTCCAATGTAGGCTCCAAGGGCATTCTAGAACAAAAGCATCAATTCCTTGTCAATAGGTATTGATATTTTCACGATGGAAAGGGCTTGAAAAGCCCTCTGTTCGATACATATCGTTGATGTGTTGATACCTACTACTTGTTTAACAAAAGATTGTGAGTTTTCAACTTGATTTTATACCAAGACACCTATCTAACCTGGATTAAAGTTCTCAATGGTTTTTAAAGGATTAAATCATAGATTGAACAACCAATTTGGATGTAATCAACACGCTGCGTCATGGATTTGGCTTCAAAGTGAAAAATCAAATGGTTCCAACGAAAATTACGTATTTTTTAAATATTCCTTTATCCGTATGCTTGTTTCTTTTTTATGTTCCTCACTGAATGTTATGCTCACTATTTTAAAATTCTAGGTTTTTGATTTTCAAATCCGGAGATAGCTGGATCGTAGTTTGAGAAGTAGTATACACACTCACTAATTGATAGGTACCCATAATGGCATTCAAATAACAATATCCAACCCAAAGTCACTTCGCAGGTAATGATATAGCATTTTGTTTGGAAATATCATGGTGTTAGTCATAAGACACATTTTATACATGCTAGACGCCTGACTTATTTTATGATATTGCCACAAGTTGGCAAGTGTTATATAATATTTGAGGGTAACACGTAAAAGTATGTTATTGAATAACTTCGTTTGCAAAATTATGAATGGATAAGTTGAGAATATGGTCTTAAGGGGATAATATATGATGAACAGGCATACGTATTGTGAGGCTTACTTGGGTCTAGCGGCGATGCAACTTTGGTGGATCTACCAATATCTGGTGGGAGATTCACATGATGTAGTAGACAGGAGGAAGCTACCTTCTGCAGGTTAGATTTTTATTTGATGTTGATTAGTTAGCTTACTTTGATGATATTGTCTAGAAATGTCTCCCTTGCTCTATGTCTGATCATAACCTAATGGTGGTGGGTGAAAAGGATCTAAATTGGGGACTCAAACCTTTTAAGGTCTTCAATTATTGACTTGATGGCAACAACTTTCAATGATTGATTCTAAATAGTTGGCTTAAGGCAAATCAGGGAAATAATTGAAGCTCATTCTTGTGGTGGGGTCTTCAAAATTTATGGTCAATTATTAGTGAGTGGCAAAATCGAAGCATGGTGAAGTGAGTCGCAAAATTGAGAACTTCGGGGGTGAACTACACAACTTGGATGTCGAATGGTAGTTATCAGAGGGGAAATTTGAAAAGAGGAATGTTGTTGTAAAGGTATTAGCAAACTGTTTGGAGCAAGTAAATGGCAGAACTTCATCATTTTAATCCCAAAGATCAAGAATCCTAATATCATTGGGGAGTATCATTCAATAAGCTCGGTGGGCAATGTTTACAAGATTGTTGTAAAGGTATTAGCAAACTGTTTGGAGCAAGTAAATGGCAGAACTTAGTAAAGTAGGAATCGGCAACATTATCCTGGCTCTACCAATCCAAAAAGATTTCAGAAATTCCACACTTATTGATCTTAAATATCTTTATTTATAGCACAAAGATTCTGATAAACCCAAATTTAGGATGGTTTTTTTTCTGTACATTTATGACATTCTGTACACTGAAGATTTTTTCTCTGTTCATTTTTCCTTTCTTATTTGTTGAACCTGGCAACATTGGCTTTCCATCCTCCTGTATGTCTCACTCATGATGGTACAGGGCTCTCAACCTTTGGTTCATACTGACGGGAGCTTTTCGGAAGGTTATCCAGGGTGGAAAAGCCTTCACCAATCAAAATCTAAGACAAAAACTAGGATTAGAAGAAATACACAAGAGAAAATTCTTGTAGCTTCACCATATCTTTTAAACCATGATATGTTCTGAGAAACAAATTACTAAGGCAGAACCAATGCTTAGCATATACTGCTACAAGCAATGTACAGGCCTAAGGATGTAAGTATTTCAAGATAATATGAACATTAGCGGAAATGATACCTTTTCTATGGAAAACAATGGTGCCTTCCCCTTAACAGACAAACTATACGTTTACTTGTAATGGACTAAAACTATGTTTCAAATCAAATTGGGAACTCATCCTCTATGCCTCTAGGCCATGCTAGAAAAGGATGAAAGGGTCCGGAAAATTCACAATTCTTCGGTGCTAAATTCTAAATAGTTGGTGAATATACATATACATATATATATATATAGCAAAACCTTAAGTATGTTCAATTCTTTGAATGGGAAACAAAAGGGTTAAGACAAAGGCAGCAAAAAAAGACTTTAAAATATGCACATCTGTTGATGATCTACAATGCTAAGTAACAGAAATATAAAAAGACTTCTGAACAAAAGAAAATATAACAAGAGTTGAAACCTTTTCACCTGTATTATCTCCTTCATCGAGCATTTGATAGCCTCCTTTGACTGAAACAAGACTATTCACGTAAACAAGAGTTGCAAATGACTTTGGAACCCCATAAATTGGAAGATCCTTAACTTCTTGGGTCCTAAGGTTGTAAGACACAGCCTGTCCGTCAGTGCCTTCCATTAGAATCTCATCATTTTTCCAAAAAACCAAAGGCTTTTCCACTCTTGAAAGAGGTCCAATTGTCAATACTTTTGTCCAAGATTTCCTCACTCCATACTCTTTCATCACACATATCTCAAATGATTTTTCAATCCCCCTCCCTGGATAGATTATTAGAGAAATGCACCCCATCCAAACCAAAAGACTCCTACACATTGAATAATCATACATGGAGAGAAAACTTGGCATTGGTATTACTTGGAACTCCTCATTTCCCATGTGGAATGAAAGGATGACTTCATTTCTGTTATCATCCACAGCATACCAGTGAAAGGATCCATTAAAGTATGTTTCGAAACATGGAGAATACAAGACATGGGCAGGGACCTTGACATTGATTTCTTTCCAAGAACCAGTTCCCAAAGAGTAGACTTCAACCCTGGAAAGGTGGGGTAAGCCACTCTCATTTATCTCCTCCCAATATGAAACTATCCTAACAACTTTGCAGTGGTGACTTTTTGCATCATAACCAAATCCCAAGGCACTGGTTTGCGGGATCAAATTTGGTATTGATGGAGAACAAGGGAGACAAGACTGGGGGAGGACCATGGACTCCCTAGTTGCAGGGTTACATAGAACTATATCATCTCTGTAATTTGATAGACAGATAACGCCATCACAATGGCCTAAAAGTTGCAAACATGGCTCCTTCTTATACAAAGACAAGTCAACATCTAAATTTACAAACGAAAAACCGTTGCTGCAGACCAAAGACAACATATTTTCTTTCTCCCCTAAGCATGTCAGAAGGCAGCGCTTGAGAAGGACACATACATTGTTGTTGCAGTTGTACTTAAGGTGCAACTCAATGAATTTAGCATTGCGAATGAGAGCGTACCAAAATTTGCAAACGCACTTGCATCGCATCAAAGATTCCACTGGCAACCGTAAGAGGATTTCAAGGAACAATTCTCTTGGCAGATCACCAATGCCCTCCATTCTAGGTTCTTTTTGTTCTTCTCCTTCCCTACAGTCAATAACTAGAGAAGCCAAAACCCTGCATGTGCACATTATTATCAAAAACTCATGTTTATACGCTTGTCGAAACTCATGGTTTCCCTGAAAAATATACCTGCATCAATAACCATTTGCCACAACAAATCTTGGAGAGCTTTAATATGCAGGTTAAGATAAGTACAGTAATAGTTGCATGGCAGAACCTACCAAATATTATACCTGCGTTCTTTTCTTTTCAGTTATTACCATCAATTTAGCATCAGTTTTTGAAACTGATAATCATGTTAAAATTGTTTTTCTTTCCTTAGCCCTGCAATCATAGAATTAAAAGTCCTTGAATCTTTCACTCCCAAATCATGCAATCCCAATGTGGCATCAGGGACTGGCATGGTGCTGTTTCACTATCTCAAAACTTGATGATTACGACTTTATTAGTATTCCAACCTTGGTGGGTGAGTTTTGTTTCTTACTGCCTTCTCTAAAAGTTGGGGCATATTCTTTAAGCACAGATTCCTGGGGAAATCTTGTCTCATCATATTCTTTTCTTTCAGAAGAAGAATTTTAATGAGCATTTAAAATAATTCAGATGCTTGACTTTCGCTATTGATACAGTTGGTTCAGGAGTTTTATGCATATTTCTGTAAAGAAAATAAACATAGTAACAGAAAGAAGTGCTTTTGAGTACATTTTCTGTCTATCAATCCAAGAGAAGGGCACTTGTCAGGACAGAAAAACATTTGTTTTTCCTTGGCAATGCCTATGAAAGAAAATCTTTTTGCACTTCCGCCATCTTATGATCGAAATGTTCTTGTCACTGCTTATGATTTTCCTCTTTATCTCTTAGAGTTCAACACACAGTTCTATAAAAATGTGGCCATTATTCTTGAAAACAACATGTCACAAGTGTTTCAAGAGGTATGTCACACATTTACATTGCTTCAAAAATTATACTCCTGGGAAAAGTGTGCACAAAATTTTGGTGATTCCTAGAGCTTTTTAATGTAGATATTCAGGAATGAGGTTCTTATATAGGTGATCTGAAAATAAATAAACCAAATACTTATTGTTTCTTCACAAAACTGAAAGCTTGATGACATAGTGCCTCAAAAATCTGGTCATAAGTGTGAAAATATCTAGTTTCAATAAAAATCACAAATTGAGAAAAAGGGTCATGACTAAAAATTTTAAGTCCTGCTATGTATTGAATAAACATTTTGCAGTACTGATATATGTAAAGGAAAGAGCATCAGCAAGCTTTCCCTACCGCAAACAGTGAGATACCCTTTCCACCACAGTTGGAAGGTCATTTCCTACTATATTTTCCCGAAAGGTCCTAGATAAAAGTAAATATATTTTTCAATGACAAAAGGAACTCAACAAGATTTACAGTAAAACATTTGATCTAAAAGGACAATACGATAATGCTTGCTGAAAACCATACTTATCTTTGTTTAATACTCCACTTCATAGACAGCTAAGAATATGCAGAGCGATAGGTTCTATTCAGTCCCTTCAACTAAGCAATGAAATTGATTTCAATCCCAAATCTGTTGAACACACTACCAAGCTAAGTAATAGAAAAACCAGAGGCTCTTAAACATAGTTACCTGTACTCCATCAAGCATTTGATTCCCTCCTCTGACTGAAACAAGGCTATCCATATAAACAAAAACTGTGAACAATATTCTGAACCCATGAATTGGAAGATTGTTAATTTTTGTGAGCCAAACTGTCGGACACAACACTTCCACCATTGCCTTCCCCGAGAATCTCACCATTTTTGCAAATTATCAAAGGAATTCAGTAACTCCATAAATCTTTAGTCTTCTCATTTTGTTAATTACATATCCAAAAAGTATTCAGTCACTCTTGTTGGAAAATGCATGCTAAAAGTATTCAAATCACCTTCCTCATCTTTCTTGCTAATAATGCTTTCTTTTTATGGTTTTTTATTCAGATTTCTTTGTAGGATGTGATTGCTTTGTTAGACCTTTTCCTAGCCTTCTTGTTTCATGGGGCTGGTTTTGTCAATAGGCATAATCAGCCACTCTCATGCTTCACTCAAAGGTTTGTCTGCTGGAAATGGTTAAAACATGTTGATTCTGTTGTTTCTAAAGGTACGGTGGTGCTGTGCTTCATAATTCTGTTAGCAAAATTGGGTTCTGAAGAATGTGACTATAAGTAACCGATTCAAGAAAACTAGGATCTCATCAAATTACAACTTCAGAAAAGCTCTATTATAACACATGTATATATATGAAGATGAATGTATTTAAGTGGTTTATCATGCACTTGACTCGATGACATCTATCATATAAGTTCCATTTGCATCAATACACTAACCCTCCCATACATGAAGCACCGTCATAATATGTGAATTTTCAACAAAAAGCCCTTAGAAAATACCAAGTGATATAGCATGCATGGTTGAGTAACCGAAGCAAAATTATGCATATGTTTGTAAAATAGTGTAGGATAATGAAAAAGTTTAGTAATGCAAAATAAAGTTTTTGAAAGATTTATGGTTCCTACCTTCAAATGCCTCAAATTCAGAATCATATATGATATCCAACCCTCATTCATCATTCTATCTTTTTTTTTCCTTTTTTGCGTTTTTGGCCAAGGTTCATCTTTCTATCCTTACTCTACATCAATATGTCCAATTCTGATCCAAATTGTCTCCATAAAAATTTGAGTTAAGCCTCCAAATAGAGATATTCACCTCACCCTCTCACCTATGGTCTACTGCTATCCATCCCAAATTAACCAATTAACAAAATTTAAAAGCAAACCTTAAAAACTAGAAATCCTAATTTTGCATATGCTTAATTTCTCAATTCCTTAGTAAAGCTAGGACTCCAAGAATTGAACTTGATGAAAGAAAACAAAATTTTGATCTTATCATCAATACAGCATGGCCTAAAGCAAACAAGCCTAACAAAAGGCATCAATAAAACCAAGCCATCTGAACTAGTCTCCCTCTGCCACTAAATTGCTTGGATATCCTTTGTCTCATTGTTTTTGCTCCATAAGTCTCCACATGATGACACGTGCTACTATAACATCAGCATATTTTCCCAAGTACTTTACAACAAAGAATACGAAACATATATATCCTACTTCTGTCCAAATACAGCTCTATTTACCAAACTGCAATCAATGATAGAAATTCACCAAAACACCCTTGGCAGCATCTCAAATTTTCAAAAACTACCCTTTCTTCCAAAGTAAGATGACAGCAAAAATTTTTTAGCATACACCAGCGTTCTTCTTTCCCAGAACACTTTATTTTTGTCTGTTTCCAACAAATACAAACATATAAGGAAACTTTGTGGTTTTGTTCTAACAATTATTCAAACAATACCCTTTCAAGTTTATGAACATTCTTGAAGAAAAATTCAATAAACAAACATGTTAAAGCAAATTAAAATCAGTGAAATCAATTATACCTTAATTGGCTCCAATAGCATCAAGGGAAATTGGGTTTCAAAGATTTTTTCTGGTAAAGCTGTAGGCCAAACAAGGAATTGATAGTTTCACTCTTGTTTCAAGCTTTTTCTACAAAAGATGGAGAACAAAAAAGTAGAAGGAAAGATAAGGAAATTATTGTGAAGAAGAAGATGATGACATGAAAAGAAGATGGCAGAAGGAAAATAAAAGGGAGTAATGAGAGGTGGGGAGTGAAGGGGTGACCGTTTTCACTCATGGTTTTTGGTTTTGGAGTTGTATTGTTTGTCAGCACATCATTATCCAAATATCCATGGGAAAGGAAAGGAAAATGCTACACATAATGACACAGTCCTTGAAAAGGAAAGCCTATTCCATGTACTAGTAGAGATTCTTCTACTAGATAGATACTCTTTGAGTTATTATTACTTCCCAACCTGAATAAAAACTGTTTCACTATGTTTGGATGTGCACACAGTGAAAGGAAGGAAACAAGGGATTTTGTTCCTGTCAAGACTGGTTAAAAGACAAACAAAATGAAAAGATTATTACACTGGTTAAAACACTGTTACACTCAAGGAATGATAGGATTTTTATGGGTGTGAAAAGTGCAAACTGTTCTAGCACAAGATAAGGTGCCAAGTGTTGATCAAAAAGAATTGATAATCATTTAGATTAATACCTGTTTTGAATACTGCCACTGATAATAATTGTATTAGGTACTCCTACTACTTAGATACATCCACGATTGAGACTTTATTAGATGCTCCCAATAATGAACACTAAATGAAATAACTGTTCATCCTAGACATAGTTACCTTAATTTTATAACCTTATCAATTACACAGGCAAATAGCATAAAAAATTTGAAACTCTTAGTAATTTTTCTTTCAATTTAAGCCAACTCACTTAATATGTCACAAATATCTTCTTGAACTTGCTCTAATCTTTGCATATTCCAATATTTTACAGTAAATGTGTAAAACTTAATTGATTTTCACTAACATTTGGATTTTTGAACCCCTTAGTAACTTTAAGCTATTTTGAAGGACATTCTAGTCTTCTGTGTTGATATATCTCAAACAGGAAGAATCATGATGAGTCCTTGTTGTTTCCTAGGAACCTTGTTTGTTTCTTGCAGGTGCTGAGTTTTGGGGTTTGGAAGTTTCTGTTTTTTAAGGTTACCCTAGATCTTGTTGGAACAATGCATTAGTATTTAGGTTTATTTCTTTATTATATTTGGGTAGTTTGGCCTAAGAAGATTAAAGTAGGGTGAAGTGGGCACTTTCTTTAAAGGAATGATGAGATTCCCGTTTCTCTCTTTTAGTCATTCATGGAAATCAATTGGACCACTTCTTCCTTCTTTTTTTATTTTATATTTGTTTATCAATCCATAGAATTGATAAGTTACACATACCAAGAGAAGAGATGATGATGAGATCAATTTGTTGTCAAATGGTGCATCACCCCCATCTTGAAATGAAGGGACCTTTTTGCTTGAAAGATAGAGATTGGATAAGGCATGGGCAATGATAAGTTTTGAAAATATCACCTCACCTCATCCTAAGTTCATTTAAAATACATTATTTTTTTAATTTTATTTGGTTTTTATATTGTGTGTGTGTGTATGGGTAGTTTTTTTAAGAAGACAGTGTGTGCTTTGATGATTGTACTATTTAATATGTATATAGATATGGTAAGATACAAATTTGTACCTTTTCCTCCCTCTAATTAGCTTCACATCAAGGTATTTTCTTTTCTTTTTTTTGGTTAGCTAATTCCTTCCATTTTCTTTCATTTGGTAACAAGTGGAGTAAACGTCTTAATCAAAGCAAGTCCAAAAAAAGAGAGAGAGGAAACAAGAAATCAACTTAAATGTGCGGCACACGGTTTATTACTAATAGTCCCAAACTTATCTGTAATTTTCTCCTAATATATACCAAGAGTTATTTTTTAGAACTTGTTTGGCTTAGTTTTTTTTAGCTTAAAAGCTATTATGGAGCTCTTATAAAAAATAATAATTTTTATAATTAAGCTGAAATTTTTTGATAAATTTTTATTTATAAAATTTTTTTATAAATTATAATTTTGTTTAAAATAAATACAAAAGAAAGAAAACAGTTTACACGATCTTGTCCCATTTTATCTTATCTTATCATAAATACATATTTAAGATTAAAATAAAATATACTTTGTATCTAAATATTTGACTAAATAATGAATACATAATATTTACTCAAAAAATAAAATTTTAATTTTTCGTTTCACAAAACGAAAAAAAAGTAAGATATATGATTTTATATCTTATGTCTTTTTTTTTTAGATAATTTATACCCTAAACCAAAGCTCAAAACAAACAAACAAACAAGATCATTAAAGAATTAAGAGAATTTTTCTACTAAATATTATATCATGTCATATTTGGCGTAGATAAATAAATGTAAGATAAGATAATTTTGTTGTCATTTATCAAAGTTACTCTTATTTTCCTCTCCCCAGGGTACAAAAGGTTAGCTTATTTGTAACACAAGTAATTGAAAATATCAATCTCTGATAATGTACATCACAAGGAGAGTGGAAAACATTATACTAACTGCCAAGAATCCACAAATTTTGAGAAAATGACACTTGCTTCCCAGTGGGCAAGGAGACTAAAAACATTGACATTTTTGTATTATGCAGAAGTGATTGGTCAGGGAAAACAAATAGCATAGTTAATCACGGAAAAGGTTAAATAAAAGCATCAATCAAACAGAACCACCTCTTAATTATTCATGACCGATAGTAACTTATTTCATCAAGCATTGATTCCCTCTCCTGATTGAGACAAGGCTATTTACATAAGTAAGAGTTTGGAACGATTTTGGAACCCCATAAATTCGAAGATTCTTGATTTGTTTTGTGATGAAATTGTAGGACACTGCCTGTCCATCAATTCCTTCCATTACAATCTCTTCATCATTTTGCCAAAACATCAATGGCCTTTCAATTCCTGCAAGAGGTCCAATAGTTAATTTTCGGGTCCAAGATTCCTTCATCCCATAATTTTCCATCACACATATCTGAAATGATTTTTCAATTCCTTTTGCTGGATAGACTATCAAAGCAAGGCAACCATTCCACACCAGGAGACTCCTGTAGAGAGAATGATCATAAATGGAAGGAAAATCAGGCATTGATATGTTTCGGAACGCCTCTTCTCCCATGTCGAATGAAAGGATGACTTCATTATTGTTATAGTCCATAGCATGCCAATGAAATGCTCCATTGAAGTGGGTGTCAAAACATGGAATTGGAGAGTATTGGACATTGGCAGAGACCTTAACATTCTTGACTTCTCTCCAGGAATCAGTTCCCATGGCGTATACCTCCACCCTGGAAAGTTGGGGTGAGCTGTGGTCGCCAAACTCCTCCAAATATGACACAATCCTAACCACCTTGTATTGTTGATTTTTCAGGTCATGACCAAATCCCAGGGCATTCGTTCGGGGAATCAAATTTGGGTTCGATAAAAAGCAGGGGAGACAGGATTTCGGGAGAACCATGGATTCTTTGGTAGCAGGGTTACATAGAACTATGGCATCTCTATAATTTGATAGACAAATAATGCCATCACAGTGACCCAAAAGTTGTAAATAGGGCTCTTTCTTATACAAGGGTAAATCAACAGCTATATTTGCAAAAGAAAAGTCCTTGCTGCTGACCACTGAGAACATATTTACTTTCTTTCCTAAGCATGTTAGGAGGCAGCGCTTGATAAGAACAAATTCATTGTTGCTGCTGTTATAGCTAAGGTGCATGGAAATGAATTTAGGATTATTAATGAGAGCATACCATGATTTGCAAACGCACCTGAATCGCGTCAAAGATTCTACTGGCAGGCGGAGAAAGATTTCGAGGAACCAGTCTCTTGGCAGATTGCCAAAGCCCTGCATCTGGCTCTTCTCCTTTAGCTACTGTCAAATACATAGTAAGAAACCTCACACTTATATTCTCTTCTACCCACAGGTTCAGAGAAAGCAATATACATGCTTCAATATCTCTTTTATTATCTAGTTGTGTGGTAGAGAAAAAGGCAAGGAGTGCTCACCATCATTCCTAATTCTTTCCTTTTCAAACTTTTACCATAAATTTGTCATCGTTTTATGGAAACCAGTAGTTGCAATGTAATATTTACAGGCAACGCTGACATAGAATCCTATGATATTACCTAATCATCCAATCTCAATCTGGAAATCTGGGACTAACATTAATGAGGGGATTCTTACTATGTACCTTTGACAGGATTCTAGCCTTCTGGTACCTCTCCATGAGTTTTATTCTTGCTGCCTTACTCAGCAAAGTTGTGGCATATACGTTAAGCATTGATTCTTGGAAAAAGATTAAGGAAAATGCTTTCTCAGATAATATATTATATTCTTTTCTCTCTCATATCTTGTCCTAGATACCCTTCAACGAGCATATCAAATAATTCTGATGCTTAAGTTTTGTTGGTGGTTAGAGGGAATCTCATAGGCTCAATGAATCTATTGCTATCACATAAAACCTCTATCGTGAACATAGATATATTATATGTCGGGATGAGTCCTGTAGTTAATTAAGATTGGTTAAATTTTGATTCTAATCATGTAATAATATCATTCATGTTAAATGATTAGAAGTTTTTCTTCATCAATAGACATCAATTATAATAAGTTATAAGTTTAATTAGATGAAGTACATAAAATTAATATACCTTACAAGAGGACTATAATGATTTATAATTATAAGATCCTTATACATTAAAGTATTATCTCTTAAATATTCTTGGTCGATGTATTATTGAAACTAGATATCAATTATACCTAGAGAGATTGGTATATTCTATGTTTCTTACTTGAGAAGTAAGCAAGCAATCTCATAGGTTGAAGTATGGAGATACTTAGAACTACAATGTAAGTGCTTACCTAAAAGAGCAAGTTCACTGAACATGACCCGCCATGAGAAATGTATTTAGTATTTCAACTCAAGTGTTTATGTAATACTTTTCATATGTTAGTTTTGTAAGTACTCCTTAGACTTGAAATACTAAGTTGTCTTAAATGTGGAATGTTATATTTTGATTTCATTCTTATGAGTGCCTAACTAAAAATGTCAAAACAAAATGCTATTGAGTATAACATGAAGCATATGAAAGCAAATGAGTAATCAAGAAAAAAATCATCACTCCAAGTGATTTAAGAGACATATTCTAACAGTTCTTAGTTGATATTAGCTTATCGAAGTCCTTAACTAAGGCGACTTGGAAATTATGAAAAAAAGCTTCATAAGTCTCTATAAAACTAATAATCTAACTTCAAGAACAAATATGAATATCAATAAAAGTAGACACTGCACCATACTTTCATCATTTCCAAGATATATGATAAGGGAATGAAATATACTGATAAGCTGTACACTAAAAGGTTATTAAAGGACCCTTTGAATCTCTTAACAATTGGGTGATTATAATACATTACTTGATGTCAATCTTAATATATGGAATTGAATTAATTAATTTAATAAAAACTATAATTCAATTCTATTGCTAGTATGTTAGGAACTTAATGAGGAATACATAATAAGTTGCATTATGAATTAAATTCAGAATGTGATGATTTCAGTTAGACTTAAATCATACATAGGTTTTTAACTTCTAAAAACTTAATTAAAATAATTTAATTAAGTATAAAGCCAATATTATAATTAGTTGTAATATTAAAGTCTTAATGGCAAACAAATAAAGTAAATTAAGTTTAATTTTAATTTTAATTTACAATGACTTAATTAAGAAAGTTTAATTAAGTGTTGTGCCAATGTTATAAAAGGTCATAATATTGAAGCCTTATCTACAATTTAAGAAGCTAATTAATTTAGATAAAAATATCACTTTTCGACTACTCCTCATAATACAACTGAAACACTAAGAGTTTTTAGGTTCTCAGAAAACTAACAAAAAAGCCTAGTCGCACACTTCCTTGAGTGACTTGAAAATAATTTCCAACTTGTGATTCGACAAAAGAGAGTGATAAGAATTGGACAAGTTGTTATTCACTTACTAGCACAAAGCATAGTTAAGAAAGCTCCCTCCTTGTAAAGGTTCAAGTGCAACTATGTGTGCAACCGTTGAAGGCTAAGCATTTGAATGGCACAGGTTCTTTGCTTCCTTTGTGTTGTTCATGGGTTAGACAAAGTAGAGATGTCATCGTAATAGCCACATCACTTGGTAAAGATAATGTTATTTTTCTAATTACTTCTCTTCTAGTTTTGTTTGCATTAAAACCACCAAAATATCCATAGGTGACAACATGACATGGTAAGTTTAAATTTTTATTTTCTACTATGTATGATAATTGTTATCTCTGAGTTTCATGTCATTTCCATGCTATACATCTGAAATCATTTTCTCAGAATGTATAAAAAATTTAGATGAATTCTTTGCTTCATTTCTCTTAATTTCGATTAAAAAGAACTTAATTTTTATGTAAATCAGGGCAACTCAATTTTCCTTGTGTTTGCATTGACTAGATTTTGCTTTTGCACATATTGTATTGATCACAATCTGTCCCTTTAAATCAAGTGACCCGATAGGTTTAGACTGTTTTTAAGAGTCTTAAAAGTAATCTGAATCACCTCACAGCTCTGGCATAGTAGGGCCGGTATTTTTTGAAAGGAAAATGGCTCCAATTTTTCAAGAGGCCTGTTCTTTCCTGGCAGGGCAGCAGGAGAGTGGAAGGCCGGCTGTAAATTCTAATTAAGAAAATTTCATTCAAGAAAGCAGAGTTCAGCAGTACATTATATTTAGACTCGCATTTGTGTGATTTATTGGAAAGATGGGGAGGTAAAATTGGTTTGGAATAGCCACAAGCATGCTAGAAAAGGACTGTGGGACAAAGGTATTGTTATGCTCATGTTACCACCTTTTGTCACATTTCTCGTGGCCTGTTCACAGAGGAGAAACCTATTTAAATTTTCCATCAAGTACAAAGGGAGCTTTTCCTCAGTTTGCTTTAAAGAAACTGTGTCGAAGAGACAATATACAGGTTCAGAAAAACGAGACATTTCTTACAATCAGAACTCACGGGAAACAAGCTTGAATTTTATTATTTTCAAGTGTTGGTATGTTATTCATCCAAAGGAAACTGTTCCAAGACCATGGCTTTATTATATTTCCCAGAAAGACGAGGAAGTCCGCACCAGGCCACGAGTTTAAGCAGGGAGTGCACACTTTGAAATCAGATCAAATGATATTCCATTCTCTTGCAGCCGTTCTTGGAGATGTGGGCCAAATACAACCCCAGGGGTAAAAGCTCCTCCCTTGGGCAGGCTTTCACGTTGGCTCAAAAGTATAAGAGCGCATTGAAGTAGTACTATGGGAGTAGTCACATAGCCAATCTCAGGTCCCATTACTCTTGTTATTATTTGCATGTCAGGTTTTGAGTTTGCTTGTGAAGCCAGACTGCTGTCACTAAAACCATATCCAACAAACCACATCTTAAATGATGCACTTCTCACCTCATCCTCAGATGGACCCCTCTTTCGAAACCATCCAAGGCTGAAAAATGAGGGAAATTTCAAGAGAAGCCACCTTCCAAAAGAAATTCTGCCTAAGAGCCCAATGAACATCCCCACTCCGATGATCCGATAGATGCCTAACAAGGACTTAGATCCTATTTTCACGCCAAAATGAGCAGGCTTCACCGATGACCAGAAGGCCTCCCTCTTCTCAGTATGTTCAACACTCTCATTAACCCCAGGTAGGCCATGGGGGTTCTCTATCAAAGTAACAAGAGTCCTTTGAACAACTACAGCATCTGCAGAAGGTAGCTTCACGGCCCTAAGTCCAATTTTCTCCTGGTGTTCTATCATTGGTCCTCTGGAAGGAGGTGGACCGGGTATCTGCAATCATGCAAGTAAACCATTGTTACAGGACACCTTAAGATAAATCTTTTAGAAACTCGCAATTATTAATATTGAATACATAAGATTCAACTTAAGGATAACATAATTCCAAAGCCTAAGACTTAATTAATGACGTGATCCATCATTCAAGAAGCCCCAGGTGGGATTCACATCAATCTTGATTTCACAGCATCATACCAACCTTGGGCAGAAGGGTTTATGACTTCTACTAGCCACAGGGTCAGAAATAAGCACAATTACAAACTGCATTTTCTCATACTCAACCTCAGGTGATTATATTGCAAAAATGAGTTATATTTTAACCATAGAATAGCAGAGAGAAATATGAAATCCAATCCCACATAAATTCAAAACTAATAGCAATACCCATGTCAAATATTGAACTATGTCAAAAGATGCTATCACAGGCAACACCATTATCCTCCCACCTCTGCCTCCAACTGCAGCTAGCTCAGCACTTCTGCCAACCAATCCCAGCACTACTATTACCACTTCAATACCAGCAAATCAACGTAAATTTCACCAGTAACCTCATCAATTTTCTTGCTGTTATTACCATTATTCCTACAATGTAAATCTCTGTGATGTAAGAAGTAAGAAGCAATACCTCCAACGTAAAAATGCATACACCATGGTCTTTCCATAAACATCAGCACCATCACTACCAACAACACAGCAACTACCATTATTATCTATATACCCAAAGATATGTTACCACCAGTATTTATTACTGCAGCCACCTAGCCCTAGGTTCCCAATCCCACCAACATCTTCAAAGCATTTACCACGGGTACAGACTCCTTCATCACTTCAGCCACCTATTCCTACTCCATTACCATTACCACCAATCCTGACTACTGCATGGAATGGTGGTGAAGGAAGAAGCGGCTACCATGGTACAAGCAGTGCTACCACCAACATGTGCCTTTGGCTTCATTTTCACCATTAATGTTTCCCACCACCATGTTTTAGTCATCAGTAGCACATCTGCCATTACAGTCGGTAATATGTGCCACTACAAAAGCTAGTAGCACCTTGCTTTCCTTGATTGATACTACAAGCAAACCAGGTGTCACTGAGCATCATAATGAAGGTGCTTGCACATTGTATGCAGTGCAACTATAACCTGTTTAGGATCTGCCTTCCTACTAAGTGATGACCCACATAGCCAAAAATATTTAGAAATGATGAA